AGTTGTCCACTTCAGCCCTCACACGCTCTGCCTGGTTTCAAATATTTAAAAAGTGGTGACCAATGAATGAAATCAGGGCTTCAGGGTGGCAGTCCAATAACGAATGGGTGATGTCATGATGGCTACGTCCATCTGTTATCCAGAGTGTGTGCTGTAGCTTCGTATGCAACCGACAGCAGTCAGAGGGCCATCGACTCCTCATCTGACTTCACAGAAAACAATCTACTCGTCAGAATATCTAAATATTCCTTTATAACAAAATAAAGCAACTTTTACTGAACACTGACCAGTTCTGCCAAAAATGACAGTCAGAGAAAAACAGTGACACAAAAGCAGCCAACTGAAGCAACACATCTACAGTTTGCTGACATTCAGCACCACAAGCAGAATTCCCTGTTACATTTAACTGCTCATTAACGTTACACAAGGGAAGTAAATGTCTTGTGTTTTCTTTCATTTTATAGTGTCAGTTTAATCCTGTTTAAGCACCTGTAGAGACCAGGAAAGTGTCGGCTCTGTGTCCTGTTTCATATCTATACTTCTTGTTGCTAGGTCTCTGAACTACGGAGGAATCGGAGCAATCATTGGCCATGAGCTAACCCACGGATATGATGACTGGGGTAAGAATGATAACCTCTTCACCCATAATCCATTGCAACAAACTCTAAACATCCACATTTCTGAGTTGTAGCTCCAAAAGGTTTCCCTGGAGCTTTTTTGTTTTGTTTTGTTTTTGTTTTTTCTTTTCTCTTTTTATTTGAATGAAATTTGTTGGCCAACTGTGCAGCAAAGGCTATTTTAAGCCACAACCTGTAACTCTGATTTCCAGTCAAAAGTGCTGCCCTTCAAGATCCATCAGAGAGTTTAATGAAGACATGACATGTCTCTCAGCCACCTGCCAAAAGGCTGGAAAACCTTGAACCGACTAGTCAGTTTGTGCACGACCGGCTTCTTAGCCAAAAAGTACATTTTTATCCTACAGATTTAGTTGGCTGGACAAGCTGTTCTACTGGCTCATGAACAGAATACATCAGCCAACAGCAACCCTGGATTTACTAACATTGTGCCCTCTAATGGTTTGACCCCCGCAGCTACCACAGAGTGTAAGAGATGGCATGCTGGGCAGTTCTTTGGGCTGTGAAGGAAAGTTGCAGATTGTGTTGTCTCCATGCTAACACTCGCCCCCCCTGCCCTTTTGCCCCTCATCTTAGTGATGCAATGGTTCATGTCCCTAGGGGGCCAGTACGACCGCCATGGCAACCTCAAACAGTGGTGGACCGAGGAGTCCTACAGAAAGTTCCAGAGGAAGGCTGAGTGTATTGTCAAACTCTACGACAACTTCACTGTTTACAACCAGAAGGTGGGCGCGCACACACACACACACACACACACACACACACACTATGATAGGTTTAGATAGCATGACATGGATATATGGGCTCGCTGATGTCCTAAACTGATATTAGGTTTATATTGAAAACCATATATCAGAAAGACAGTGTCCATTTCTAATATGATGCCGTTTGATTTATTACCTGTGATTTAATCAACAGTACTCTCATTGTATGAGACTTTTTCTGTGTTTTGTACAGACTGATTACAGACGTGCATGATTATAAGTTTGTACATACTTAAAGGGCGGCTCTGTTTACTGAGACTTTGGATGGATGGATGGATGGATGGATG